ATCTGAGCAGTTAGCCAGCCTGTTTATCCGAGAAACAACTATAGCTTCAGTGAGACACCAAGAGGAATTCCTAAACACTGCCCTGCTGTGTCTTGTTTTCTGTTTAAATCTGTTATGGGGATGCATTCCCAATTGCTGCTACAATTATGCAGCACTTTCTTTAACAGTCAACATGATCTTCATCTCACTTGTCTTCAACTTCCACCCATGCCTACAGCAGCTCTGGTTCTTTGCTGTGCTGAGCAGAGCTAGGGGCACCAGCAGGGGAGGGAGGAGAAGGAAGGAGCTCACTGCTAGCTCCTCTCTCCAGCCAGCAGGTTAGCCCTGCAAAATCTGAATTCCAGGGTTAGCCCTGCCCAAACTGTGCAGATAGAAACTTGGAGCTGTAGGGAGAGAGAGAGAGCAAGGCAGGAGCCTGAGACTCACATTGTAAATAAAGCATCCAGTGCTGCTGTTCTGTTATTTTGATTTTTTTGGTGTAATCACAATATTAAACGGTATTGGGCTGTCAACCATGTCACTGTAGTCCCTGTGTCAGCTCTTCAGGAGGTAGACTTTTATCTCTGAGAGTTTGACAATTAACCTCCTTGGTATTAAATGTCCTGTAAGTAATGCTGGTAACTGCTTCCTCCCTATAAATATGATAAACAGACTGTTGAAGCTCAGTGTCACTACTGCAGAACCCATTGTTTTGCCTCTCTTCTGCTGGATGGTGGTTGTAATAAAATTCTCCCTTTTCAGGGCCAGAGGGTAGAACATATGTTCCTCTGCATGCCTGGCCTGGCAGTTAGTCTTTCCTGACTGTTTTTCTGTGTGTTTAACATCTTGCTTCTGATGAAGTTCTGGTTAAATTTCAACTGGAAAAACATCTAAATTTTGAACATGTGTGGTATTCTCCTTTTACTTAATTTTATTGTTTGAATGCATTATAAGCATAAATGGAATGAATGGCTAGAATATAAAGTGTGGGGAAAGACCCAGAGAGACTTAAGTAAATTGAAGGAATAATCATGACAGGCTTACCTTGTTTGAAAAAGCAGCTTAGCTTACTACATCAGTACATTGGTTACCCTGAGGGTGAATTGGGAGATTGTTTTTTCTTGTCAGGTGTAATTGGTTGAAGAAGTGCAAGCAATCTTGCCAAGAGGGCGGTGCTGCAGTTTTCCCAGGCAGGGTGAGATCGGAAGTATTGGCCAGGTGGAGTGGCCAAGTGTTTTCACAGAACAGTTTTTATAGGTCAAGTCTTATCTATCCATCTCCTCCATGGCAGTTGATAACAACATAGAATTTTTTCAGAGTAGCCTTCTCCATGAGCTCTGAGTATGACTTGTCTTCTTGGGGCTGTAGAGAACATACGGGCAAATTTGAAAGTTTTGTATAATGAACTTCTGTTCCTGCTATAATACACTTCTGGGCCTGCTCATGTGAAAATCCAGGTGGAGCTGAGGGACATGCTGCCCACACTTACTCCTCGTTTGGAGAAGAAGAGTTCTATTTGATACAACCAACTGCTGGTCCCTAAACTGTATTGCACATGGCTAGCAAGCTTGAAAAGGGATGTGTGTGTGGAAAAAATCAGCTGTGCCTCTGTGTATTTCTGTAGGTTGAATGAAGTACCACAGGAAATGCCCATACTGCCATTTGCTCTAGAAAAGCTGCAAAGACAGTGTGTCACTGTAGTATCAACAATGAAGGAAACCACAGCTCC